CACCCTCAAACCGTAAAGTTGAAAAAGTGATCTGATTAAGGAATTAAACCTCATGCCTAGACTTGTAATGGACTCATTGTCAAATCAGGATAGGTATCATGCATCATTTTTACATATCATATCATGCATTGTATTATAATTGTAAGATAAATAAGTTATGCATACTAGTTGAGTAATTATGTTATAACTATGTCATGAGAATGCACAAATTTAGAATGTAGTTATATAGTCAAGGCTAAAAACAAAAAAGACAAAGTCTATTGACCATTGTTATAAAAAGCACCCTGGCTGTCAGCGTAGGCCTAAGAAGTACTTAGCCTGTTCGCCTAAGACTTGGGAATGCTTAGGGGATGGCCCGCTTATGCAGACTCCACCTCATAAAAAATGGGTATATTGCTCATTTACACACAGTAACAAATGAAGAATATAGGTCAAGTCAATATGGACTAGATCAAAACTCCATATCCAAGTCCATCTTAGGTAAATGACAAGGATAATATTTTGGAAAGGAATGATCCTTTCTTGATGATATGAACGCCTATTTGCTACTTAAGCGTTTGCCTAGGTGCTAGGTGCATGGTACGGCACCTAGAAGTGCTTAGCGCTTTCTAAAACATTGTCAATGACTATATTAGACTATTATAAAAGGATACCAGATAATTGAACCATATAAATATAGACAGAATTAATTTTATGAATACAATTTGCTATATCATTTTCACAATTAAAACAACAAAACAAGCCTATCGAATATCACAACCATTCTCGATAGGTCCACATTATCATGTCTTTGAACTTGATATTCATTTTCTTCATCTTAATCTTTGTTTAACAAAGCCCCTCCGCTTCAGTACCTTCTTTCTCTTCTTTCCCCTTTTGTCCAGTGACATATGAATTTCTAGGTTTTATCAATACTTATTTATCAGCAAAAGCACAAAAAAACATTTTCAAATACTTGAAAAATTATAAATAATAATTTGACTGCTAATAGTTAATTTAACTTAAAGTTGTAGTTATTCTCTTAGTTTCTTTTCAGATAGCACCAGCACTAATTGGTCCTTCAAGTTCAAAGCCTTTACATGAAGGAGTTCACATTTGGTAGAGATGGTCCTCTCATCTCTTGGTCACTTTATCATTGATTCCATATGCAATAGGTAAATAGAATCATAAGCCAATCTGTTCCTTCCCTCTTCATTTGTCTCTTTTCCAAATGCAAATTGTCCTAAGAACTGCTGGTTTATGAAAATTGCAATTGCATTTAAAATTACAAAAAGACAACTCTAGTTATAGTTGCAGCCATTTGTTTCGCTGGAACTGAACTTTATGACAGTTGCAAATGCAAACACGGTCCGCCTTTTGCAAAAACAGCATGTAGTCAATTTGGTCACAAATCATTTGTGGAAAAAGCCGCGTGTTGAAGCTATAGTTGCATATTGACTGTAGTTACAGTGAAATAGACAAGCGCAACTACCATTGCTTTTGTTCTTTTTCAAATTGTAATGGCAGTTGTAGATACACTTTTCTGTGAACGAACATACTCATTGTAAAAACCCTACTACAGTCATAGTTGTCCCAAATTATTTCTCTGCTCCTGTAGGATTAAAAGTCATAACACTTGAATTACTTGTTTGAACCAAGAGTTTAGGGATTGGTTTTGTTTCAATAGTGAACATTGAAGAAGAAAGGAAAATTGGTAATGGCAGTTGATTTGTATGTTTGTATCGAATTAACAGGTGTTTTTGCTTGGATATTATCCTTTGTCAAAAGACTAGATCTGATTTGGAACTTGAAAGTTGCAACTTTGTAATTAAACCTAAAAAATCTTTCTAAATGGTTTGGAGAATGTATTTTAACTCAAATCCACCCATCATTAATTGCTGCATATCATAAGACATGGATTGTAGTATAAGATACATTGACCCAATAGATACATCTATAAGATATGAATAAATTTGTGTGTGTATCATACGAAATTATTACGCATGCGCGCACACACACATATACATATGTGTATATATATATATATATATGTATATATATATATATATACATATGTATATATATATATACATATGTATATATATATATATATACATATGTATATATACATATGTATATGTATATATACATATGTATATATATATATATATATATATACATATATATATATACATATGTATATATATATATACATATGTATATATGATAAATATGATATATATATATATACATATATATATGTTATCCTTTGTCAAAAGACTAGATCTGATTTGGAACTTGAAAGTTGCAACTTTGTAATTAAACCTAAAAAATCTTTCTAAATGGTTTGGAGAATGTATTTTAACTCAAATCCACCCATCATTAATTGCTGCATATCATAAGACATGGATTGTAGTATAAGATACATTGACCCAATAGATACATCTATAAGATATGAATAAATTTGTGTGTGTATCATACGAAATTATTACGCATGCGCGCACACACACATATACATATGTGTATATATATATATATATATGTATATATATATATATATACATATGTATATATATATATACATATGTATATATATATATACATATGTATATATATATATACATATGTATATATATATATATGTATATATATATATATATACATATGTATATATATATATACATATGTATATATATATATATATATATATACATATGTATATATACATATGTATATATATATATACATATGTATATATGGGAAATATGATTCTAAGGAGTCACCTTATATTGAATCTAAGGATGCACCTTCAAAATTATATTATACGCAATCAGTTTACTTGATCCACTCCGTTCATTTTGATCTAAATGATTTTGATGACACACAAACTAAAAATTAGGCATATTGAGTTGTAGTTACTAATGCATCAAGTGATAGTAAAATTAACGGTTTTGGGACAACACGAGTAAAGAGACAATGAAAAATGTGTTAGAAATATTCAAACATGATTTTTGTTTTGTAGATATTTTAAGGTATTTAGATCATGATGAATGGAGCGGATCGTCCATTGAAATAGCCCAATCCATACATTGAGACGTGCATCCATAGATTCAATCTAAGGTGGCTCTTTAGAATCATATTTCCCTATATACAAGAGAAAAATGAGTATCTTTGATGCTAAGGATAAAAATGGTCATGGGTAGTTAGTGGACGAGAAATGCCTACATCACTTCCAAGGACCACATTTGGTCCTTGGTACTATAAGGATACCCATATTCCTCTCCATATAAATAACTTATCAAAAATATTGACAACAACGATCAAGTCATTAAAAGAATAGCGAGTAAGATAATTGAAAGAATAAAACATCTTCTATCATTGTCTGCTGCTGAGTTCTTAATACAAATAAGATGAATTCCCAAAGTGCTGGACTCCTAGTATTTAATTGGAATATCTAAACAATTGGCTATGTGATGGGAGATGGTGCAGTTTGTACCTTTGGAAGGTGGCATCATCAATAAAGAAAGAGAAAAATAAAGGAAAATTCAGAGGCAGAGGGAGGGAGGATTAGGTTTTTGGAATAACTCGTTTTGTATCACACCAGTTTCAATGGCACTTTTGTCTCACACTTGGATTAATGGCTTCTCAATTAAGTCTCACACCTTCAAAAACTAGGCTTTCAGAAACTAGTTTTTTATAGGTTTACACGAAACCGATCACTTATAAACTAATCCTTAATAAGCAAAAAATTTAATCACACTAAAAAAAATTCTTCACTAATACACTACCTCTATAGGTAAAGCTATAATATTTTTTATTAAAATAAAAAAACCCAATCGTAAAAGAGGTTTTATCCATTTTGTTCTACTTTGTTGATTTTCCAAGCAAAAGTCATCCTCAATTAAATCTATCCAGATTGTGAAAAACTCGATTTTGAGATTTGAAATTGGATATCATGAAATTTAGAACTTAGAAGCATAATAAGCTGAAGTTGATTGCATCTTTGCTGTCATTGAACAAACGTCCTCAAAGAGAAACCTGCAAAATCAAATATGAAAGTTTGTAATGATGTCAATCTTGATTTCGTGATGGTACTGGTGTAGCATCATAACCTATACCGTTTATGGAACTTGTGAAATGTTAGACATTCCTTTTATGGAGCTTCTCGAGTAAGAGTTAGAATTATACCTCATATATACCATTTAATGGAAATACCTGCATGATGATGGTGTCAGTTATGATATGACAGTAGCACAAAATTTCCTGTCTATATTGACTATATCCAACGGCAATTTTTTCCTTTTTTTACTAAAGATGATCATAAGCTGCAACATCTTAACACTAGGACACTTGCCGATAGCCAAACAAGGTATGTAGTTCATATTTCCACTACTTAGTAGATGCTAGATACCTAAAACTTTGCAGTGGCTGGATTATAGGAATTTCTACGTGGTTTCTATAAAAAGTCCTCTTGCAATTCACTTCTATATATCTAGCTACCTTAACTGCAAATCATTAGTATACTACTTTTCACTTATAATTGATCCCTCTTTTGCTACTACTCTCCTGTTGAAAACCTATGCTCTTTAGAATACCTTCTCTCCTAAATTTTTTCCTTCTGATTTTATGTTTTTTCTAGGGAGAATCTGATTGCTTTTAATTATCTAATTTAGCAATTTATTGTTGTAGGGATTTAGTGAATTTTTCACATTACAAAAGGAACGTTGGACGGTCCCATGGACAGCTGAAACCATCGTCCAGGTAAGCCTCTCTTGTGCCAGGATTATCTTGTAACTGATGGTATTGCAGATGGGTTAATTGTGGATAGACCCCCTGTCCTATCGCCAAAATGCCGATAGGTCCCTGAACTTTTATTGTTGCAGATAGATCCCTTGGATTCTCAACTCCGAAAGTTTCACGTTAAGATTGACCTTCATAAACTGTGAAACATACGAGTTTCTTGAACTGATTTACTTACTATAAACTCGCATAATAGTCAATACATATAACTAATTTAAATGGGAAAACCAATGTAGCTGAGAATCCAAACAATAGAAGCACAGGGAGTCTATCCTCTAACCCTTTGAAAGATCACAGTCAAGAGTCATGAACATGGTATCAGTAAAATGTTACAGGTAATGCTTCTATGGATTGCTTCCTTTTGGTTCGTCGGCTCCTGGATAATCCCTTTCCTAGCTCACACTGCTGGTTTCAGTAAATCTTCTCTAACCCACAGGGGCCAGGCCCTGTACAGTCTCCTCACTGACATAGCTGAAGGCCTTGCCGGAGTCGCTATCCTTCACAGGTGTCTATCAAGATTTCGACCTCTTCCCTCAGGATGGTTTGAGTTTAGCCTCAAAGGCAATTGGCCCTTTGATGTATTATTGGGATGCCTCCTCTTCCCTTTAGTGAACCTGTTATCCCAAATTAACATCAACATGGTTCCCATTCTCCCTGCTTCCCCTTCGGTCGGTATTTCTAGTGTCGAGCAGTCAATTGTTGCTCGTGATCCTGTTGCCATGGCTCTTTATGCTGTGGTTGTCTCTGTGTGCGCTCCAATCTGGGAGGAGATTGTGTTCCGAGGATTCCTTCTGCCGTCGCTTACGAAATACATGCCTTTGCCTTGGTCTATTATGGCTAGTGCTGTGGCTTTTGCGCTGGTGCACTTTAATGCGCAGCGGCTGTTGCCGCTGGTGTTTCTTGGTCTTGTGATGGGATTTGTGTTTGCGAGATCCAGAAACTTGCTGGCTTCGATGCTCTTGCATAGTTTATGGAATGGGTTCGTGTTCTTGGATCTCATGAAGTGACAATGCAACTGTATTTGAATCATTTTGGCATTCTTCTTGTTACTGTCATGTTGTTGTATTTTTACCTTGTTTTCATATCACTTAATTGGCAAGGCTTTGCAGGCTTGTAGAGTTAACTCGATTATGCGAGAACGAATAGTAACTAACACAATTTGTAGAATTAACTTGATAATGTCAGAGAATGTAATGTTCATCAATTCTGATTAATGCCTTTTTTTTTCTCATGGTCTTAACATCTTGTATGGTACGCAGGAATCGAGTTAGGTGAAAATCAAATGAAATAACGAATAGAATAGAATAAGCGTGGGGATGAAATGCTTATTCTCATTTTCATGTTTGAGTGCGATTAGAGAATGAACGAAGTGGGAATGACAATCTTTTTTATTTTATGTATGGATAATTAATAAGCAACCAATGTGCTATTTCAAATTTTTGGTTCTCACAGTGGGAATGATCCATTCCTACCATCTCATTGGGACTTCTTACTCCCTTATAAAGTGGAATGAATGAGAAGTGAGAATGAATATTCTAGCTTCTAAAAAGTAGTTGTGGTTGGTATTTATGAATGAGAAGTGAGAATGAACATTCCATTTCTATTCATTCTTGCATGCGTAACGTCTTACAAAGTTTATCGATATTGATGAGAACCAAGTAGAAGAAGCTCGGCAAAGTGATCTGGTACACAAAGGGTATCCTGAAGACGTAATAGGCCTACCACGAGAGGAATTGTATCCTGAAAGATGAGTTTATAAAATTTGGAAATCAACTTCAGAGTGCCACTTGTTTATTGTGATTCTATCGCTTCTTTCTTTCAATATTTTCTTTAGAAAACAGTCTATCGTATTTTTAATTTACAATTTTTCCCCATCTCAAATAGTGTTTACTGCTGGTTGTTCTAAATTTTCATCAAGTATTTTGTTTGATCTCTCCTTTTATGTTAGAAAGTTTGTGATTTGAGACAATAATGGGCGGTGTGTTTGCTTGTGTTGTAACGTATTACGTGTATAATCTTTCTATCATGTTGCCCATATTGAGCTTCATATACTATATAATCAACTTGGTTTCTGAAATTCAGTGATTAGAGAATTAATGTCTTGAGCATTATGATGCAACTAGAGTTTGTTTTATGGTGTCATTGCTTAGATATATCATATTTCTGATGGGAAACTGATATTGTCTATTGGTCATTTATTTAAATGTCTGTAGAATCTATTAGAAGTTCTCTAACATAACCAACAAAAAAAAATCTCATGTAGTATCAGAAATCATGCGCTTCACCATCGGAAAAAAGCTCATTTTACTAGAAATTATTGAAAAGTTTGAATTGATAGGACAAAAAATTATGAGTTTCTCATAATCTATCAAGACACCAAAATAAGACCATATTAACATCTATTGTTACAATACATCATCATTTTTTCTATCTGGAGTTTAATTCGATTCGATTCTGACGCACCAAAATAAAACCATAAAGTTTGTATCCTTTCTGTGCATGTTATTGTTCACTTGTTATGTTTATCAATATTCATATCTTTTAAATTTTTTTCGCAGGTATTCCTCAAAGTAACAAGAAATTTAGTGCACCCTTTTGATAAGTTACCTACAAGTTCAATCACCAGTACCTAAATCTTATTCCTCCTCGAGTTTTATATACTTAATTTCAGGGGTATTAGCTTTTTAAAACTAATTTCAGGTTTCTATTGATCTTGCAAAACTACATTGCCAATAAGCTGAGCAACTACATCCAGTGCCTGGAAACAGTAACATCCCATAAAATAGTGTCCTACGTCGGAAGATGACAAGGAATTTCATGCGTTTATAAGATAATCCAAAGGACTCAAGAGGAACAATTGCTAGCATTTTATAACAATGAATTTAGCCAAACAAAAAATTGCTCTTAGTAGGTCCCACGGCTTACTTCACTCTCCTGGGACTCACGGCTCAAGAAGTGACGAAAACTTCGTAGGACACTATGTATAATGCAGAAGTCTTTGATGCTCTAATATATTGAATCTAACTTGGAAAAGTTTGCCGCTAGATTTTTTAAAATTTCATTAATTTTTTTATTTGCGTCTAGTATTATGCTAGAGATGTTTAATTTCGATATGATGTTTCTTTTTTTTTTCTGTGTGCCTGTTTGTTACCTAGCGTTTAATCGGCCTAAAGTGAGATTCTCATACTTGTGAGTTTTAATCTTTTACTCTTCAGAGCTTGACTTCCTTCATTTTTGGACAATTTTCTCATGAAAACAAGATTAAATTTCTTGAATGGATGACAAGCTAGTTAAGCTAGATGGGTGATCACCAAATGGATGATATGAACATAGCTGTTTCTTTCGTGCTAATCATATTTAATGAAGGTGGATAGGGCCCAAGAAACTTTATGGCCAGTCCTCTACACTTGAAGATTTTTATTTTTAATTTGATTTTTATTTCCCCTCGTATCATCTTTTTGTGCGTCTATTGTGTGGTTGGAGAAGGCTTATATATGGTAAGGTAAGGTAAGGTTAGGCTATTTACTCTAGATGTTTCAGTTAAAACTGAATGTCACTTCTAATTGTTGAGATGTGATGTGCTCTAACCAAAGAAGGATCCATGTAAGGACGAGAGTTTCATAATAAGTAGCCGAAATCCTAATATTTTTAAAACAATTAATTAAGAAAATAAAGAGATGTTTAGCTTATGCATTGAATCCTGATCACCTCGTTAAACGCAACGGATTATATGGTAATCAGTACTTTCTAGTATTTCTAAATCTTCATAATTTGAAATTTGAATTCTAAACATATTTCAAGTTTTTGAGAGCATCACATCACACGCGGATTGTTATCCTCTCAAATTAGATGATAACCGGAAGGAACCTAAATATTAGCACAATTCTTACCATGTATGCCAATTTTCAAGGACTGTGATAAAGTTAGAGGATTTTTAATATCCCAATAGCAGTTTTCCAATAGTGATTTTAGAGGCAACGATGGTTTTCAAAATAGTAATTGGGATTCCTATATGGCTTCATTTCAGCTGAATCCTACTACACTTTCGATAATCATGATTAAATGACTTAAGTATATTTTTATTAAAAGATGTTTTTTGAGGAATCAGTAATGATTCTATTACATAGCATCAAGGAGAATTTGATTACAGATTGAGTTTGGACCATCTTAGGTATCCGAGAAGGAGGTGCATTTATATATGCAAGCATATTGAGCTAAAATGTGTGCAAAAGAGTTACCCAACCGACGAACATGACTAACATAAGAAGAATTGAAAGTCTTAAACAGAGCCCAACATTCCCCGAAGATTGATGATAGTGCAACAAGAGCCCAAGGTCTAAACAATTAGATCCCAAAATAGTATTCAACCAGCCATGAGCGAGGGCAAGGTGAAGCCTAGTAAGTAAGGCTTGAACTTCAGGTTTAAAGGCGGTAGAGTCGGCTAAAAAGTGGAATATGAGATGATATGGTGGCCAAGATGATCACGAAAAACAATCTCAATAGCAGCACAATCAATATTGGAGTCTACATCAACATTAATTTTTACCATGTTAAGTGGTGGTGTCGACCAAGAAGAGGGCAAACGGATTTTGAAGAGTGATGCATAAGTTAGTCATGCTCAAAGAATACAAATGAGTATGAACATCTGCAAGAGTAAGTGTAGCTACCAGATATGGTTTAGATTCCTTGAATGTAGCATAGCATCTGACTTTCCAATTGAACCAACAAATGGTTGTCGCAAAGGCTTACATATGACTTGAGACCAAGTAAGTTGAGAGTACTAACAAGTGATCATTATAGGAGGTGATACGAGGGTCTCATCTCTCGGCCACACGAAGGGCAGAGGGGATCGGTTGACATGCCACGCTTCACCAAAATGTCTATGAAGGTAAGACCATTTTTAATGCTCTCCAAATGAACATTCTCACATGAGGTGGAATGCCTTTATTCTTAAAGAATTTTTACGACGGAGTCCTTCTCATAGAGATTGGGCAGTTTCCAAGTGGGAGGGTTTGTCCATCTAGAGAAGATTGTAAATAGCTTTCATAGTGAAGGAGGAGGTCAATAGTCCTTTCTAGACAAGAAGGTCATCATGTTGATCGAAATTTTGAGGTCTATGAAGAATGGGCGTGCGAGGGGCGGCCTTTGCTTGGATCAAATCAATATTCCAAGAGTTTGAGGCGTTACCGACAAGGTCCGCAACCATGGAGATACTGGAAGGGGGAACATCCGGTTGGGAGTGTTAGACCCTAGGGGGGTGATTAGGGTCTTATGCTAATCTAATCCGATTTTATACCAATTAAAACTTATTAATAAATTATTCTTTCAAGATAGATATACAGTATGTTATGAGCAAAAATATGCAATATGAACAAAGAGATATATGTTGGATTTAATCTAATAAATCTATTTGTGGGCACATATGATTAAACAATGTGTATTGCTATCTTTCAGGATAACCCACTAAAGTGATCAATTAAGTTGGGTTAATTTGGTATTTAAATGATCATGGGGTCATATGTGCAGATACCAGGTTGTAATTGTAATTTATTGAGGGGCTAAATTACAAAAGTACAACATCTATAAATAAGGGGTTATGGTCCCTAACCTAGGGTTACATTCTCTAATTCTCTTCACCCCCATCTAAAGAGAAATTCGGTTTTAGAGAGAACCCTAAGGTTAGAAGATCCAACACCCAAAATCAAGATTAAGCAATGGATTCAGGTATAAGCTTCCGCTCTTTTAGATCCTTGTTAATCTCTTTGAATTAATCATGACTATATGGTTTTAGATCTCAAGTTTTATGATGTAGATCTAACAAGTGGTATCAGAGCCACCTTGATTAATTCTTAGGGATTTAAGTTTTATTGGGTTTTTGATCTTAAATCTCTGGTTAAAGATTCAATTCTTGGGTTCGGATGAACACTAATGTTCTCGGATGAACAGTAACGAAATTTTTTTTCGGATGAACAGTAAAGTATTTTTTTCGGATGAACAGTAACTGAAAAAATCGCTGGTGAACAGTAACTTTTGGGAATTTTTTGGATTTTTCTTTGATTTTTCCTTCAAT